AATGTAAAGATGGGTAGGAAAATTGCAGTCTGATTTCAGAGAAGGAAAGGTTCTGCCTAAATGTACTTGGAGATGAGTTGCATGGCATGCACACAAATACATATGCTTGGTATGATGAGATGAAAACCTTTGACTAAGTCCAACCCAGCAAGGGAATGGATTTGTTGACAAGCGAAAGTCTTGGTTCAAGAAAGATTTGCGTAATTGGCAACCAAAAGACAGTGTGGAAGACTAGCTAACCAAGGACATTGAGATACGAAGAAGATTGTGTCAAAGATGTATGCTTTGGCCATTGCCTTCCAATTTATACTCCTAGAATATTTTTAGTAAAACCCTTGCCGATTCAAATGGCAGTAACATTGTCGGGCGAAAGGTTATCAGCACCATCTGATGTGCAAACGGTGTAGTATTACCAGCTAGCAATTTAGAGGGTCGAAAAAGGTTACTCAGTAAAGTTAGTGGGATAAGAAACGCCCGTGGACTAAAATTTTAAGGAAACTGAGTTTATGGTCATCGGGATAAAGAAGCAGTCCAAGACATGAGGCTAAAGAGCCAGAATGAAAGTACGGCGCATGCTGATGGATATTTCTTGGAATTTTGAACAGTTGGATGAATAGTGAGAGCATCACTACACAATATAAAGAGCCATTTCCTTACAATGAGGAATATAATTTCCAACAAAGACCCAAAGCTAGCTTTGCAAAGGCACTACCTGGAAAAGTTCAAGTGCCCAGGCTTTAAAGTCATAGCACAGAAAAGTCAAGTTTTTTCCTTCACTACCGCTCGCCAGAATTTCATCTCTCTGCCACATTTTGGGCTTGCTGAAATAGCACAGAAAAGTCAAGTTTTTTCCTTCTCCACTATCGCTCGCCTGAGTTTTGGGCTTGCTGAAATGTTCATACTGACTTCAAGGGCAGCCCTATGTAGAGAGCATCGTAGTAGTCTATTTTAGAGATTACCCACACATCTCTCCCTGCCTGGAGAACCTGGAGGAGACTTTGCAATTCCTTGAGCCCTCAGGTGATAACCCCTGGATTTGGCAAGTGTGCACACATGCATGCGCAAACCCGCCCTCCCACATCCCTTTAGCCCTTGGATGCCTCCACCCTGAGTTTCTCTCCTCCCCAGAATGGCAAATCACACTGAATCTTGAGGGCCAGAGCTTCCAAACGTTGCTTTGTGGACTTAGAATTCCCAGAGAAACACATCAGTGATACGTGTACCCCATCCCAGGGCCAACGGCCGCAGTGGGCGAGGATCTCAAGAGGAGGAAGTGGCTTTGATGCTTGCCGGCGCCTTGGCCGCATCTCCCTGGTCTTACTAGCCGAAGATCACTTCATCTGGGAGTCTCGACCGCTGTGAGAAAGACCAGGGGGGGCTTCCTGGTGGTTCTTCTCTGACTTCCTCTTTGGGTCTTCTGTGTTTGTGAAGAAGCTGCCCGGTTCCTCTCCCTTGGCCAACCTCTCAGTGGTTTGGCTTCAGGAAGTTTGCTTAACGTGTGCAGTTCTCGGGCCGTCTTGCCTTCTCCCCTCGCTTGCGTAAGCAGGCGTCCCTCACCTGCACCATTCGGCTCCGCTCAGCCAGTGCGGGAGCCCCCTCTGCGCATTCTGGCCCCACACAGCAGCCAGGTTTGTCCAGAGTCTAAGTCAAATGCCTCTTAAGGTGCCAGGTTTGTGTTGGGGTGTAATCAAATGACTAGAAAGGTGTGTGTCTGACTCACCGGAGAGGGTTGCTTTGTAGGGAGGAGAGACTCTTCTGTCTGCTAAGGATTGGCTCTAGCCGGCCCCGAAACGTAACAGACGGACCCAGTGTTTAACTTCAGACAATGAGTCGCAAAACAACCCAAGGTGTTTTGCAGGCTGTGGGGGATCAGAAAGATTCACAAGAGGATAGCTAACTATCTTCTGAGTTTAAAGGAATGGTCCCTCCTAATAAGACTCAGGATAATCTTGTTTGAGCACAGTTTCAGAAAAGGAGTGCATGAATTTGGGAACAAAACCAGCTATTCTATGTCTGGCTGCCCAAACCTACTGTGACATCACAGCAGCCGGGCCAGGGGCAACGCCAGGGGAGCAGAACTCCCCTAGTTGTACCTCATGTTTGAGTGGTTCCTTGTGGACACCATAGGGCTGGATTATACAAAAGCAAGCCACCTCTTGAAACCTGAAACTCAGTTAACTTTTGCAGTGACAGTAGCTAACCGCACTCCGGACACTTAATTCAGAAGAGTTCCTAATCTCGTCGTGGTTTCTTTCTCTGGAGGGTTGCTAACTTCCCCCAAACCAGCCTCTGTAACTGTGCTATTAACAGTAGTTTAATCTGCAGACATTATCAGTTGGTGATGGCTATCTCTTATGTCTTAAAAATATTTTCCAGCTAATTTACATTCCTCCACCGCAAGCTGTCCATACAGACACAAGAGCCTATCTGAGGAAGGAGGCAGGAAGGAGTTGGCACTTCCTAGTTCTGTGTACTTAATACTGAAGGCTGATTCACCCATCCAGAAATAGCACGTGGCACAGCCCTCCTAGAATTTCCCTGTGTAAAATAAACTAGGAAATAAATAAACTAGAGGCTAGACAAGTTCCATTTTGACTCCCAGCTGAGTCACTGGCCGTGTTCTCTGGAGGATTCTGGGAGCTTTGCACCCCGCCAAAAAAGAAAATGGTCCAGTTGCAAAATAGATTTCCTTGCACACAGAAAGCTAAGACATTAGGAGCTCACTCAATTCCTTCCCTACAGAAATGCTAGCTTTCTCTAAGCTGCAAACGCTCGTGTTCTCTTAGGACAGGTCCAGAATCCTGAACCAGATCAGACCGATTGGATTTTTGTTTTCATGGGATGCTCATCAAAGCAGATTTGGACAGCTCCAGTCTCCCGGATGAAGTGTATTTGAACTGACTCCAGGGTTCGAAGGTCTGAAAGGTGGGAAAAAACAGAGAGCAGGGAGAGATTATGTGAACAAGTGCTTGGGAGGGAAGACAGGCCGAGCTGAGCTTTGCTCAACGGCACCATCAGACTCAATCTGCTGCCAGAATTTCATTTCAGGCTCAGGGCTGGTTAGGAGCAAAGTTTAAAGTTGCTCAGTATGCAAGTCACTGGTACTAGCTGTCTGAAATTGGATGCGTGCGGCCCTTTCTTTGAGATCTGCCCTGTTGCCAAATGTTGTATCCATCAAGGCCGGGAGAAAAGCATGACAGCAGTTTTTGGTTTTCCGAGTGACTAGCCAGTGGGGAGGGCATATCAATCAGAGTTCACAGATCTGGGACACAAATCAAATCGGGCAGGACTCGCATCAGCACAGCCCAAATCAAGAGGCTAACCTGGGGTCTGAATTGAACTGAGGGTGCTGTGGAAAGCGCTATGGTGTATGATCTCTTTCAACTGCAGTTTGCCAAAGTGTTAAAGGCAGAGCCTGATCAGGCAGCTGGCAGCAAACAGGACGAGCTGTTCAGTAATATTTCAGGGCCAAAACCAGGATCTTCTGCAGCCTGTTGTAAAGGACAAAATGCTGCCTTCTTGCTTACCCAGGGATGCCCCAAAGGACAGTATTAATCCTTAAGGACACCTGATAGCAGCATGTTAGAGGCAAATGACTCCGTATGAATAACCTCTTATAAGTTGCTGAAATCCCATTATGGCCTAAAGAGATATTTCTGGCCGCCTTTGTGATTGGGCCGTCAGACTTGCAAATGAAGGCCATGTTTACCTCCCAGCAACCAATCACAAAGCAAAGGAAGCTCATGGGCAAGGTATGAGGAAATCTCTGGGGTGACAGTCAAACATCATTCACCATTTAAGGAATTCCTCTTCTATGTAGACCAAGACCAAGATCCTCCTCCTTCTTGTGTTCCCGATCACCATCTGTGGCTGTGAAAGCTGGACAGTGAAGAAAGCTGGCAGGAAGAAAATGGCTTCGTTTGAAAGGCGGTCCTGCATGAGAGCTTTTGCAGAGACTCTCTGGACTGCCAGAAAGATGGAACAAAGGGAGTTGTAGATGAAATCAATCCTGAACTCTCTCTGGAGGCAAAAATGTTGAAGCTGAGGCACATTGGGAGAAGGCAGGGTTCTATGGAAAAAAACCCATCATGCTGGGAAAGGCAGAAGGCAGCAGGAGAAGAGGAAGACCCTTATATGAGATGGACAAGCTCCTTCAAGGAAGCCACAGGCTTGAGCTTGCAAATGCTGAGCAGAGCCATTGAGGACAGCATATTCTGGAGATAGCTCATTCATGGGGTTGCCCTACATTGGAGATGACTTGACACCACAGCGACGGGTCACTCTTAACATATAGTTTGAGG